TTTAATAAATTAATTTGATAGTTTTTATTAACTTTATGTATTTAAAATACATTTAATTCAATTTCAATACAGTTTATTGTATTCATAAGAAAAACAAATCAAAAATAAACACAGCTGATCATAGACGCAGTTAACTTACATGATATTCATAGAACTTGGAAAAAAACTACTGCCGATAGGAGTAGCTTAAGTGCAAAAGACTGTGAAGTTAGATGGACTTAACGTAATTAATTTCATACAAAATTAGCTCTAATTGCAGCGAAATGATAATTTCAGGCAGCTATCTTACCGAAGCTGCTAAGTACCGAGGAAGCTAAGCAAAATAAACTGTAATAAAGATAAATTAAAAAAAAAAAAATTCCATTACCAACTGACCGCATTACTTGCTGCCGGCTCTACGCAAAATAAAATATAGTTTCCTCAGCAGGTTTCGAACTCGTAATTCGTAACTACCTGCGCAACCAAAACATTTTACTTTTGTGTTTCTTAACCGATCTTAATGAATGAATAACACATGCGCAACCAAAACATATTACTTGAAATTTCATTAAGATCGGTTAAAAAAACACAAAAGTAATATGTTTTGGTTGCGCACGTGTTAGCAGCAGTACAAATTCCAAGATTTCTGTATACATGTACACACACACACACAGTCATTCGCTTCTGCTTTGAATTCTATCAACAGCATTGCAGTACATCTAATTGAGCCATAGAATATTTGTGTTTTCTTTAAAAGTCTATTGCATTTAAATTGTGGCGTAAATTGGTGTGCAATACAAGTTGGAATATTAACTTAATTTATAGATATTAGGTAGTAGCGGGGAGGTGGCTATAGCTATAAAATGAAAAGTAATTGATATATATATATACTATTCTAGACTCTAGCTCTTATTAATTACCAAAATTGCTCAAAAAACAGGAAACGGGCCAAGTTATCGAATATCGGAAACAAACTCGATCTGCGCGGGCACTAGGAGGACCAACAGCTGAAATTTCTCTAGCTTATAGGTTCTAGGATCATTGCGTGCATACATACGGACGGACAGAGAGACGGACATGGATAGATCGACTCGGCTATTGATGCTGATCAAGTATAAATATTCTTTATGGTGTCGGAGATGCTTCCTTCTGCCTGTTGCATACAATTGCACAAATACATTATACCCTTTTTACCCATTTTTAATGGGTTCAGGGTATAAAAATTACAATATAAGCTCATGTTAAACAAAACTATACAATCGAGCATTTCTGCCCGATCAGCAGTATAGCCTGTACGCTATACGAAAAAGTAGGTACGAAACTGTAAATTTATACAAAAGTAAAATTATTTTTCATCCAAAACGGAAATCTTATTAACATTAACGAATGAATTCCCTTGGCCCAAAATGCACCCTATGGTTACAAAATCAGTGGACTCAACGGCAAATGTAATAAATAAAGTTGAAGTCGAACACACAAGATTTAAACTTAATAAGCACGCTATTAATAAATTTGTTTGTATATATTTGTCGTGTACCCAACAAATTATTGTGAGTATTATTTTTGGATGTTGACGATTAAGTGTTAGTTAGAAACAGAGAATTTGACACAAGGCACTGCTATTCAATATTACTGTCCTACTTGTATTAGGGTTCCTACTGAAAGCATGGTGTGAGACAAAGAAGATAGTCTCTGCCGAACATGGCCCGAGTGTGTTCCGTTTGATATACAGTGTTGAGTGTTCACTAACAGTACTAAAGAAGAATGTAGAATGACAAGAGCATGAGTAGTGTGCTAGAGGACGATGAAAATCATTCATTTGAAAGTGAAAGAACGGACGTGCTCTTGAGGTATAATTTTTTTGCGACTACAACGACGCTCGGTACTTGCTGTGCTGCCAGTATGCCTAATTGTAAAGGAAGTCATTTCTCTGATCCGATATATTTATATATTTTGCATAATGGAAGCAGATATTCACACAATAAAATTATTTCAAAAGATATTAAAGAAAAAACTATAATTTCCAAAAAGTAATTCCTACATATTGGCCTCAAACGAATTATTAAAGAAAAAAAAGAAGTAACAATTGATTATGAATATTTCCAATTTTAAACATTAGTATGAAATGGCTGCAGATCTATAACACAATACCAGAAATTAAAGCCAATTTTTAGAAATCAAAACAATATGAACATTATTCCTACATATTGGCCTTAAACGAGTTTATAAAGAAAAAGAAAGAAAAAACAATAGATTATGAATATTTCCAATATTAAACATTATTATGGAATGGCAGCAGATCTATAACACAATAACAGAAATTAAAGCCAATTTTGATAAATCATATAAGTGCTTAACTCAAAATAGGGACATACAGACAACTACAGTAAATAAACATGCTAATATATTAGGAGAAAGCTTTAATGAAGCACGTCAACTAATATATGACCATAGAGACAAATTATAAAGTAACCATTGAACACAAGTGTGTAAGGTCTTAAACAGATTTAGAGAAAATTTGTCGAGCATTAAAAGCAAACATTTTTATCCCCAATGTCCTAAACACAGCTGTATTATTAGAACATAACGAATCAGAATTAAACAAGAAAGAAACACTTGAAAATAATTCGGAAACTGAAGAAACTGAAAGTGACATAAAAAATTGGACAATTCCAGCAGTAATTATATTAGCCGAATTGTCAGAGTTAGAGATTCTGATTCAGATTCAGATTACAATGGCTCAAACAACTATAGAATTCATTAAAACAGCCTCGTCCATATTATCGGAGTACGACGGCAAAGCAGAAAACTTGCAGAGCTGCAAAGACGCATTTAATCTAGTAGATTCACTTACAGGCGATGATGAAGCAACCGCAATTAGTTTAATAAAGGTTAAATTAAAAGGCCGTGCAAGAAACTTGAAAAGCGATAAAAGAACAATCGCTGAAATTATAGCCAAATTATCAAGAACAGTAAAAGGATAATCGGTTGTACTATCAGCCATACTCCTAAATCTATAGCAAAAGATCAAAACTGCCAACACTTATACTTAAGAGGTTGAGCAATTGCCAAAAGTCCTAGAAGGTGCTTATATTAATGATGGCTTAAATTCAGATATATCCACTAATACAACAAAGCAATGGTAAAACTTATCTTGCAGGCAGGCACATTCAATAACATGAATGATTCCACATCCAAATTTGTCGATAGTTGCACCGAAGCAACTGGACAAACTAACAACCTTTATTACCAGAATTACTCAAATCGCGGCGGAAACCGCGGCAGATAAAATAGTAGAGGCCGACCATAAAACATACATACCATACAATCGCGGCGGAAACCGCGGCAGATAAAATAATAGAGGCCGACCATACAACAGAGGCGGCTACAGAAATAACAATAATAATGGTAATAGACACTCCAATAACAGAGTCAATCCTCGAAATGAAAAAAATTATATCCCATTAACAATGTTAGTTAGGATACAGGAGCAAATGTCTCAATTCAAAAAATAAACAATGAATTCCCCGTACCATGCGATGGAATTCCTGGACTCGATTTTATTAGAAAATTTAATTGTATAATAGATTATCAACACGATGAATTTATCATGAAGCCGAAATCTGTTATTTATCAAAATAAAAGATTATGAAATTAAAACTAAAATTACAGTGACATCATAATTTCTATAAACAGAAATTAAGAATAGCATACAAAACCCCATTTTATATTAAAAGGTATAGAAACGCCGAAACGCAGTAAAGCCAGAAATAAACAGAGGTCGAAAAATTAATAAAAGATGGTATAGCTGAAAAAGCTATTTCAGAATAAACATAGAATCATTAATAGAAATTAATAGGAACATGATGATAGTCCAAACAAGATCATCAAAAAGACAGAAAACCATCTGCGCAGATGATAAAATAAAATTGCAAAAAGATCAAAAAGAGCCCCATGTTTATGAAGTCGTTAGCAATAATAACGTAAAGAAATTTGTGAATTCGGTAAATGAAATTGTATATTTAACGAGAAAGAAGGGCTAACTTCGGCACGCCGAGCATTTCCATACTGCTTTGCCCGTATTTAAAAAACACAGGAAATGTAGTTAATGGCGAGTCTGGTTAAGACATCTTGAAAAACAAAAAGTTTTCCATACAGCGATGTAAATAAGATTTTGCATAAATGGAGGGTGTTCGGTTCAGCAGGTAAAAATTCATTTAGAATTATGTTTGCATAACACCAAAGGAAGAAACTGATTGTGAAGAGCATTTCTTAAGGACTCATACCAGATTGCCTAGTGGCCAATATTCGGTTCATTTACCCTTCAAGCGAGGTTTGGAATGTCTTGGGACGTCATACCAACAAGCCTTTCGTCGGTTCCGGACCCTGGAACGCAAACTGCAAAATCGTCCAGACCTGAAGATTCAATATTAAAATTTTCTACTCCATAGGACTTTGTAAATATTGTCTCCCTCCCTCAGACAGTTGAACGACAAAGTTACGAGTCGTTTTCGACGGCTCAGAATTTCTATGTGGAAACAAATTGGACTGGTCAGCTTCTTGCTTGCCAGAAAGGCTAAGAAAAAAGGTTATTCTTGGGTCATCTCCCTTCGTTGATATATCTGCCACTTGTAAATACGCCAACTCATTTGATACAATGCAGCGTATATTCGCATATATCTATAAATTCATACACAGAAGCATTCATCCTGGACTAACAGTGTGTCATATACAACACGGGACCCAACTTTTACTGCGGCTCGTCCAGAGAGCACACCTGTGGGAAGAGATTAAATCACTGCGATCGAGAAGAGCTGTTAAGCCATCCAATTGTATCGCATCACTTAACTTTTTTGGATGAGTTCGGCGTTCTTAGAGTTGATGGGCGCTTGAAAAACTCTTCGCTGGATTTCGAAGCTCGCCATCCAATAATTCTTCCGCGGCACCATCCCATCACAGATTCACTCATTACAAGGTTTCACAATCACAATCGTGCCAAGCCACGATTAGTAGAGCATATAATGGCTGATCTTCCCAAAGAACGTTTGACTGCTTGTCGAGCCTTTGAAGTCTCTGGCGTTGACTTTTGTGGACGTAATAAAGCTCTAGTCAAATGCTACATGGCTGTCTTCATCTGCTTCGCGACTAAAGCAGCTCACCTGGAGCTGGTCAAGGTTCTGTCTACGGCTTCATTCTTGAATGCGCTCAAGAGGTTTATATCGACTCGTTGCAGGCCATCCCAGATCTGGTCGGATAACGCTACCAACTTTGTCGGCACCAAGAACGAGCTTCTGGAACTCAAACGTCTTTTCATAAGTCACAATCATATTGACTCAGTGCACAAGTTTTGCATGGCTGACTCCATTGATTGGAAGATTATTCCCCTCGTTCGCCGCATTTTGGCGACCTTTGGGAAGCAGCAGTGAAGACAGCGAAGCATCATTTTTATCGTGCTGTCGGCTCTTGCGTTCTTAACTTCGAAGAGCTTCGCACCCTAGTCTGCTCGTGAAGAATATTTAACGCTACTTCAGCAGCGCTACAAATGGCGTACTCTGAAGCCAGGCCTATGTGTCAACGACATAGTCCCCGTAAAGGATGAAAATCTGCCACCTCTAAGGTGGCCACTGGCGAAGATCACGGAGCTAATCGTGGAAATGATGGAGTCGCTCGCGTAGCCATCTTGCGCACCGCAACAGGAGAGATAAGGAGAGCTGCAAACAAGCTGTGCCTACTGCCCATCAAGGACTCAGTTTACAGCCCATGCCTTTCAACGGGGGGAGAATGTCTGGCTACGCACCCAAAACAGCTGGAGCGACATCGCCACTGATAAGAGCAGCATCGTCTTCTTATCTTGTAATACTTGCTCTGCGAAGCAACTGCTTAAATTTCGCTCTTAACATTATTTACATTGAGCTGGCGCTCTTCGCTGTAACGATGCGTCGAGTCAAGTTAAGTTCGTTCGCCTCGTGCATTTGGTACGCATCGGCCACTTGCATTATCAAAACATATTAATTTGTCGCAATTGTCGCTTCGCGAAAATCGGTACGAACCAATTCGGGTTCGCTTGCCATTGTAAAATTATTGTTCTTAAATAATAAACACAGACCAATTCGGGTCTGCCTGCTTATCGTAACTTATAATAAATATATATATAAATTGGAACACAAGAAATTACACATTGTTGTTTATTTCTATTTGTGAAAGTTATTGAAAAAGCTCAATAGCGCAACAATGTTTTGATCTGTCTGAATCTCAATTGAGGTTAAGCCTTTAGATTATATAACTTCTTGGCTTATGCCTTGAATATTGATTCTATTGTCATTTTAAATGTCATTAAATAAATCATAATTTTTTCTTTTAGTGTTGAAATGTCTTCACCTGTATCTATTTAAAAACGAGTTTTTTTCCTGTTGCCACATGAATAAATGATATAAATACATTAAGATTGAGATTGATGGTGTAAACTTTTGTGTTCTCTATTGTTGCGCATTTAAAGGTTGTTGAGAGTTTCCCGAGTTATTCTGGGCTAATCTAACATTAATGTTATTGTTAGTATTATTACTCCTGTTCTGGTTATTATAATCATTTCTATTCGTGTTACCACGACCTCTATTAATTTTGCTATTATTTTGATTACTGTTGTTATTATTAGAGTTGCTCCTGTTATTATAACGGGCATTTCCTCTACCACGATAATTACCTCTGTAGCTATTACCGAGATAGGAATTACCTCTTTTGGAATACAATACAGTATTCACATTGCCAGTAAGTCTCATACTAGTTCTAATGTATACGCTTATAGCTACATCCATTGTTGTGCATGTTCAAGCCTCTAGTACGGTTTTTATGCTCCCATGCTTGGCGTTTTTGATCATAGAATCAATTGCATCTTCTGCCGGTATATCTTCATCGATTTCATTAGTATATTGCGTCGCCGTTTTCCCTTTTTGCTGTACCGTTGCCATTTTGGCATGGCCTCGCACCAACTAAACTATCGGGCCGTGGCTTAACGGCCCTTCGACGCCGACGTCGACTGCGCCGCGCGTTTGTGCACCCGTGTGCGAGCGTGATCTCCACGTCGCCCGTCTGGCGCGCGCACGCTGTACTTTTACGCCCGACCGTTATGTTTTCGTCTCTTTGCTTTGATTTTTGCATTTTCGCTTTGCTTTTGATTTTCGTCGCTAAAATGCTGCACGTGTTCATTTTTCTGCCTCTGCCTAACACAGGGTATAAAAATGTTCGCTGGGGTATACTGGACTACCTAATACCCTAGTTTTATACTTCACCCATATATGATATTCTCATTCTCTTGTTTTCCGCTAGGGTACTTTCCCTCTAGGGTATACCCGACTAAAAATACCGTTTTTTTTTTTGAAAATACCTATTTGGGCATGCTTGCGGGCTTTAATCCGCCGACATGCCACACCCCTAAACGCCTCTGTGTCCCTGCTCGGGCGCCACTTGTAAAGAAGCTACTGGCCGGTGTGAGCTGGGAGAGAGTGCTTAAGGGGGAGGGGGGTGAGTATCCTGACCAAACCAAGCCTAGCTCTATTTCTACACGCCTACACTATCGGGCAGTGCCCTCGCTCCAACTACACTATCGGGCCGTGGCCTCGTACCAACTACACTACCAGACAGCTAACTAGTAATGCCCACTCTCGGGCCATAGTCTCGCAACACATATTCCCACTCTAGTTTAGGGTGTTCATCAACTAAACCCGATGTTAGAACAAATAAGATTATTGGAGAACAAAAGAACTAGCAAGTTTCTTCATTAATCACAATGTATGCACTTTTATTCACTTATTTATTTAATACTGTCCTACTGTACTTCCTAAACTAAGGCCCTGCCTCACTCGCGACGCATGTCTACTCACCCTTATTGCTGCTCCAAAAGACCCGGCACGCTCGCAGGCGAGCCGTGCGCTTGCCTCTGTCGCTCAACTTCGCCGCGAGCTTTCGCAACTTCACTTCGGATCTTTCGCTCTTCGCCGTGGAATTAAAGTTACGCTCTCGAAGAAAGTGTTGAGCAACCGTTCGACAACGCAAGGTTACTGCGGCGGCCGGCGGTTAAATTCAAACTAAAATTACACCCTTGCTGGCTACGTGGCTCCTTGCCCTTAATTATACACTTCAATACTTCGGCATCTTGCCTTAACCATTATTATAACTAATACAATGCTTATATACTATACAATGCTTATACCTTATAACTATAATTATGAACAGTGGGGTGGCTACTTTAATGGCCGCCTCACACCCCCCCTTACTTCGACGACGATACCGTCGCTTCCCCGGCGGCATTTATGGCGTCGACTTCTGGGTTCCTCAACTAACTTATTGCTTATCCGTTGCTTAAGCTATTCCCTGCCCTAGCAGTGCAGCTCACAATCTAGGAAATCTACTTTCTATTCTTCACTTATTCTTAACTAATTCCTCTGCGCGTGCTCCTCTTCCGCGTCAATCGGGTCTGAACTTTTTCTACGGTTATTCCGCTAGGTCTGCTGCACAAGCTCTTCCACGTCATCTCTTGGTGGAACGGCTTCAGCAGCGAGATATTGGCCACCCTTTTCTTCCGTTCGCCTGGCCTCACTAGGCGGACGATGTTGCGGGACATGAACTTGACGACCCGATAGGGGCCATCAAATGGGTGCCAATTTCGCAGCAAAGCCCTCAGATGCGTTGGACAGTTGCTTCTGCCGTAATAGGACCATCGAGTCCAACGAAGCCCGCAGGTTCTCGTCTCCGCAGGTTGTAATGTCTGCCGTGGACCTTTCATGCACGCTGGAGATAACTGTGAACGATATCAAAAATTTCTTTTATCCTATCCGCCTTTGTACTAGTTGCGGTCCCCGGAGTCACCTGATCGTACAGGGCAACCGCGGTTCTATACCAGCAAGCTCTTCCCATGAACTCTAATGCCCCTCGATAAATTGCGCTATGGTCTTTACGGTCCGGTTAGTCCTATTAGTGGGATTCTCTTGAGGATACTACGGGGCTGTATACTGGACCTTTACACCAAGGGACTCCAAAAACGACTTGAAACTATGGCTCGTAAACTGTACCCCGTTGTCGCACACGAACTTCCTAGGCCCCCCGAACCTACTTAGAATCCTCTCTCGGAATGCGGTCTGCAGGTGTGCCGCCGTGGCCCTCCTGAGAGGGACCAATTCCATCCACTTCGAAAAGGCATCATGGAACACCAGTAGCATTATGTTGCCATGTTTTGACCGTGGAAGGGGTCCGACGAAATCCGAGCAAAGTACTGACATCGGCTCTGCTACCTGGCTCGTCAGCATACGTCAAGCCGGTTTGAGTTACTCGCTTTTGAACTTCTGGCAGATTACACAGCACTTCATGTACTTGGCGGCGTTGCGGAACATACCTGGCCAGTAGAATCTCTGGACCAACCTCGACACGGTTTTCCTCACGCCTTGATGCCTGGCCATGGGAGCATCATGACATTCTTGCAATACCCTCTGTTGCTGACCACTAGCCACACACAGCTTCCAGGGAATGTAGTCCTCATCGTCCGTCCGGTGGCCCAAATGCCTATATAACTTCCCATTTTCTTCTATGTATTCCGAGTACTTGGCTGGCTCTTCGGCGATTTTAGCACGCATACTCGCGAACCCAGTGCAGGGGGCCTCGGCCACCACTGCTTGCTGACAGGTCTCTAGAGGAAGCCTTGATAGTGCATCGGCCACGACGTTGAGCTTCCCTCGTCGGTAGTGGACGTCAAATTGGAACTGTTGCAGTTCCAGTGCCCATCGCGCAATCCTTCCTGAAGGGCTCTCGATCGAGTTGAGCCACTTGAGAGCTAGATGGTCCGTTATCACGTCGAACCGATACCACAACGCAACGGCCGTTAGCTGCTGTACCTGAGTCGCGAAGTTGGGAACAAAACTGAGGTACCATGAAGACTTCCCAAGACACTGCCGCAACTCCTAACAATTAATCGGGGCCCTAAGGTTACGTATTGCCTCCACCTTCTCCGGATCGGCACGTATCCCTTCTCCACAAATAGCATTCCTCAGATAAACCAATCTTTCCCTGAAGAAGCTGCACTTCTTCCTATTCAGCCTAAGATTGGCCGCCCTTAACCGGCGGAATACCTCTCTCAAATTCTCTACGTGTTTCTCCTTTGACGCCCCTATCACCACGATATCGTCTAGGTAGGCGAAAGCATGTGGCTCCATCTCCGGCCCTATTACCGTGTCCAAGGCTCGGTGTAAGGTCGCACACGCCGAATGTAGACCAAATGACATCACCCGCCATTGGAAAAGACCTCTCCCGGGGACTGTGAATGCCGTGCATTCCCGGCTATCGGTTGCCATCGGTATCTGCCAGTACCTGTGCTTCAAATCCAGAGTGGAGATGAACCGGGTGTGACGCAACCGTTCCAAGATGTGGTTAATCCGGGGCA